TTCAACTTTGTCTTTTATCACATTCAAAAATAAAGTAAATATCTCTGTCTTACTGACAACAAAATACAATTAAAGACTTGATGGGCATTATTCTGTGCAAAAACTATTCAGCCTGATTCTCTAATTTAATATTATTTGATGCAAATTCTTACATGTATGAATTTTCAACTCAAGGAGTCGTTTTTTTTTTATTAATAAAACTTGTTAGAGGGAATTCAGCGGAGGTGCAAACAAACTACACAGTTTGTAAAAAGAAAACATTTGACTGATTTAAGGCTTTATCAAATAAGGGAATGTTACAGGAAGTGAACTTCACCAGTCTAGGGATGCACAATCCACTTTTATTCCACTTCCGATACCATACTGACACCCGAGGTTTGATACCGAAAACCTGTTCTGAATTAACTTAAAACATTTGTTTTTTAAAGGCAGACATAAATGTACTGAATTACAAATTCATTGAACATTGCACCACTACAGCACACTTAAACAGCAATAGCTTCACAACTTGGTCAAACATGTAAAAACAACACAGTTTTTCAGTCTGCAATTATGAGTGTAACGTCCAATGTAAAATAAATAATAATAAAGATACTGAAACTGATGGGAACAATAGGTTAACAACTTTGGTTAAACACACACAAAAAAAAAAAAAACTTAAAACAAACCTTTCAAATGGTTCAGGAGTTCTAAAAATAATGTAAAATAAATGATAAAGGAGCTGAAATAAGAGGAAAAAAACAACAGCTTCACTAGCTTTGTTGGCATTTAAAATAAACGGCAATCAGTTCCTGTCCTTATGGATCGGTCACATTGTCACGATTATCTGATAAATGCATTTTCCGATATTGATACAGATATCGATACTAATATCGAATTGGTGCCTCTCTACCAATACCCAATCGATATTTTTCCCCCAATATCGGTACAGATACCGATATTAATATCTAATTGGTGCATCTTTATTCACTGCCTCTGTGTTAGTCACTCACACACACACACACACACAAAGTGACAGTCACATGTAGGGGGGAAAAGTATTTACATTAAGGTTTACCAAAATTAAAAGCAACTCCTAAACACAGCCTCTCCAGTCGGGGATGCGTCTTGTCTGCTGGGTGTTCCTGTTCACCGTCTCTTCATGACATAGCTCTGCATCTGTTTGATTAGCTGCAGTAATTAAAAAAGAATAGTTGGGTCCGAAGCCCCAACAGGCTGATGCGATAATATCTGGATAGAGAAAAAATAAGGACACTCAAACCACAAACAGCTCTGCAGCTCATATGGCAGAGTTTATCATCTGCTGCTAACATCTGTGTAATTGGCAAAGTGTTGTAATGCCCATTATCATTTTGTTTTGGAGACAGAAGTTTACTAAAATTCATTCGTCTCAACCATTGAATCGCACAAACATGCCAGAATTAAATAGCTCTCTGTGCATTGCTGTTCTGATTTAATCAACCGTGTTTTTTTTTTTGTTTTTTTTTGTGACTGGTAGATGGTAAGACACAACCGGAGAGATAATGACCATCATTTTAACTTTCACACGGAAATAAATGGATGCAACGTCTGACACACTGTTCCAAGTTCTTGGTATTGATTTATAATTTTCTTCAAATCTGACAGTTTTATCTCTAAGGATGCTCCAATTATATTACGGTAGTTCCAGCTTTCAGTTTTCTATTTTTTTGTTAGTAGTCACTATGCAGGTAACGCTTTGTTTCATGTTAGCACCTGTAGATTCAAATTTCTGCTTCATCTGTTTCTGTTTTCATCTTGTTCAGATGATCATGAGTGTCTTTTACAGTCAGCTGAATTGATTGTTCAGCTTCAGATGCGTCCTGTACATTGCTGCCAGTTAGCTTAGCTCAGCATGAAAAACAGCTGAATTACACCCATTTATTGGTCTTATTTGAATATAACCCCCTGCTTCAAAAGTGTATTGCTTTTTTTTCTGCAGACATTCAACGTGTCAGCCTCGTGCACTAATAAATATCACCTTTTGCAACAATTTAAACACCGTAGACGTCTGGTTTGCTGCCGTCTTATTCACAAACAGACATGTACTGAAGCAGAGGGCCATTTTAACACATGATCGGATGTTCAGAAGACTCGCAGATTAATTTTTAAATAAGCTCTTCTCCACAGTTTTAACTACAAGAATAAGTTGCATCAGTGTGTAGCTTTCTTTTCTTTTTTCTTTTTTTTACAGTCCGTTAACCAAAAGTTCAAGATTGAACTGTACTTAAGTGTTTAGTTGCAGCTGAGCCTTTTTATTTTGTGTGTGTTTATATAATGCTGTTTGCAGCTGCACCATGGGTGCAGTTGAGAATAATGCGGTGGTGTGTCTAATGTAGAGTTTGTGTGATGCTGAAGCTTCTCATCTGATAAACAGCAGCGCAGATGTGCCCTCAGGTGAAGTTAAAGATTTTTTTTTTTTTTTCAGTTGATATCAGAGCTGTAGCAGAAATGCACTTAAACCTCAGCCATGCTATTACTGGCTTTCATTAGTATTAAACGTGTAGATAAACGGTCAATTGTAGCTCCTTTCATGGTTTTACACAGCTGCAGTGAGCTTGTCATGGAAATCTGACTGTGTAGTCGTGTGTTTTTGGAAAACTTAGTTGAAACATATCAGTAAGCATTTATGCAGTTTAAGATGGTGTTTTTTAAAGAATTTATTTCTTTTTAAATTTTATTTTTTTATTTTTATTTATTCTAAGAACAAGTACACAAACAATCAGAATAGCTGTGTGTGTTTGAAACACCGTCTCTTTGCACAAATCAACTCTGATAAACAGCAGTAAACAGTTTAGAGGAGATAAGGTTTTGGATTGCTTCTGGCAGTCGGCACTTCTTGGAGTCGTGCACTGTTTGCCTTGCTGCTGCTACAAGGCAAGAAATAATTACCCCTAAATATACCCAATGTTCATGGAGACTACGAGTACAAGCAAATACAAATACTACTACTAATAATAATATTTTTTCTTAGTTGGAAAACAAAAGGAATTCAAACACTTGCATGCCATTATCTACTTCTGCATTGAGCACATATGTAAAGACAGAGTGTTCAAAATGTGAATTATAACAAAGTTGGGCTGCCTTCTTGCCATCTTTGCCCTCTCATTTGTCTCTAAATGTCAGAACTTCTTTTATGCGTAGATATGTTTCAGCTAATGCCCCACAGCCTAAAAGCAGATAAATTGGTTTATTGTAATAGATGATGCTCTTTCTTAAATTCTTAATTGTTCACATGACAGTTACTGGAAGACTGAGATTAAGACGTTTAGCGTATATCTTAAGATACAGTAGTCCCTCGTTTTTCACGGGGTATGGCGGGAGTGGTGGCACAGAGGTTAGAGAAGGTGGGCCTGTGATCGGAAGATCGCCGGTTCAAGTCCCGGTACCGACAACATCAAAAATGTGGGTGGGAATGATGAAGCGCCCCCACCTGCCCCCACCCTCATTCGTCCCACTCTGGGCCCTTGAGCAAGGCCCTTAACCCCCACCATTTGCTCCTCCGGGCGTCCTAGATAGCAACTCTCTGCTCCACACAGAGGGCTGTGGTAGCTCGGTGGTCTGTGGTCGCGCCACGAAGGGCATCCGGCGTAAAAATAACTGCCAAGTCTTCGTGCGACTTAGTTCGCTGTAGCGACCCCTGAAGAAGGGAGCAGCCGAAAGAAGAAGAAGAAGAAAAAAAAGAGAAAAACATCTGTACCCTGAAGCCCCGCAATAAGTGAAAAAACAGCAAAGTAGGAATAGTAGTACAAGTAGTAAGTAGTAGTTTATTTTAGTATTTATACTTATATGCATACACACACACACACACATATATATATATATATATATATATACTTCCCACACTCGCAGTATTCTAAACAATGTTTCTAAATGCTCTAAAAGAGCACAGAATGTCATGATTTCAGCTCTTTGCCACCTGCAATCGCTTTTGGCCACGCCCACTTCTCCGCTCTGCACAGAGATCAGCCGATCAGCTGCAGCAGGAAGTTTATCTTGCAGTGTGGGCTGCACAAATGTGCAACAGGTGCTAAATTATTAAAAATAATTAATTTTAAATAAAAATTTCATGCCGATCGTGCAGCTCGTCCATCAATCAGCCAATTGTGTGTCATGGCCAATCTTATTTTGAAAAACCGCGATAGAGCGTGTCCGCGATAAACAAACCACGAAGTAGCAAGGGACTACTGTATATCTTAGATTCTTATATGCTGTTTCTTTTTATACTTATATTTTTACTGATTACTTTACTAATTACTAATTACTATTTGGCTTTTCTATGTATGCAAATGTTTTTGTTCAGTGTCCTGAGACAACATCTGTTGCGATTAGACGCTGTATAAATAAACTGAATTGAAAGTTATTGAATTTTTGCTATTTTTGGGTGTAACTGGGAACTTTATTACACATATTCGTTCCACCTCATGTACCACATGTGATGCAAATGACAATAAAGAACCTTGAACTTATACACCTATTCCACACACATACACGTTTCTATACAAACTGAAACCATAGCAAACGAGGAAAATGGTTGAATATATAAAATGTGCTACAATTCTTTTCTAATAGCATACTGGTAAATCTCCTTCTTTTGTCTGAATAAACTGCGTATAAATAGTTGTATTCAGTTGAAACTGTGTGCTTTAGGAGTAGAAGGTATTTCAGTATTTTATTTATTTATTTATTTTAATGATGTGTACTTGGCCGTGAGTGCACCCTCAGTCTGCAGACCTTGAACGGTTTTTGCCTCCAAGCAACAACAAAAAGTCAACCAGAACGTTCAGAGTGCAGCACGGCAGAACTGTGATTTATTTTTTCTTTTCTTCTTTTTCTCCTCAAAGTGACAATTTCCTTTTTGTTTTAGTTGTGAATATTTCCGAACTCCCTTCAGGCTACAAGAGGCAAAGCTTTGACCTCAGAATGCAGCTTGTTCATACAGTTGCCATGCTTTCATCGCCTTTCTTTTTTTCATCTGTTAGGTGCTGTGGCTGTGATTTTGCCACTACCAACATGAACAGTTTAAAGAGCCACATGAGGAGACATCCTCAGGAGCACCAGGCCGCGCAGCTGCTGGAGCAGTACAGGTGAGAAAAGGCAAACGAAGACAAATTCTATGTTGCCATCCAAGAAAAAATATGACGTGACCAGAAGAAAATGAGTTTCTGCAAAATTGTGAGAGCACATTGTGCATTCTCGTGGTGCTAAAAAACCTTTAGATGTGAAAAATGGACGTTGAGTGGAAGATAATGATGAAAGTGACAAGCAGTCACTGTCTATAATGATAAATATCACCAGACATTAAGATTGTGATTGCAAACTGATTGCTCACTTAGCACCCACAAGAGCTGAGTTCATGTGCCCATATATTAAAAATGACAAAATGGAGCTGTTCTTTATGTCTCATAGGGAAACTCAAGGGTTTTTATTACAGCACTTTCGTTGGTAGAACATTAAAGACAAATTAATTTAAAATCGGTAAGGATATGGACAGAAGTACTCGGATTAAACGGCCATTCGGAATAAAAATGCATCATGTAAACGTCCCATTTGGATTAATTTTTGTTGATTCAGCTCGATCCGAATGAATCTGTAATCTAAATGAGACGGGTGGTTTATGACGATTCATAATCTGAACGGTGTGTATGTAAACACTTAATCTGATCATTTTATTCCAATCGTGGAAAACTGACCTAACTGCGCATGTGTGACCTGTGTCTACCTCACGTATTTCCGCCTGGCTAGATGCTAATATGTTGGGGAAGCAAAATTGGTCAGTGAGCGACACAACATTTCTACTAGAAACTTTGAAAGAGCTCAAAATTATCTGTATTACCTGTAGCTCAATCAGGGGATGCAGTAACGTCTCCACCGGAATTTTAAACCTGGCGTGGGTCCATTTTGGGCGCTCAGGTTTGTTTACTTTCATCATGGAAGTAGAACTTCTTCTGTTTTTTTTTAATAGAAAGTTTACCACTCTGCACATGTCAGTACTTCTATTCAGAATAAAAGCCTGTGCATTTAAACGCTCGTCATGAACGGATTGTGCCCATATAAATGATGTAGACCTGTCGTGATAAACAATAAATCAATTAATCGCATGATAAATGAAAATTATCATCCTCATTTTCATTTATTGCCTTTATCGTTTCTTTGTGTCTCTCTCTTTCTGCTGGACGCTGGATGACAAAAGGCTCAACTCTCTTCACTGACCACTCCCTTTCTCTTTAAAATCTGTTTTAACCGTCCAAAATCATGTTTTTGGATCATTAAAAGCAGCTAAGCTGAGAAGCTAAGCTGCGAGGTAAGCTAACCGGCTGACCTTTTTTTTGGGGGGGGGGGGGGGGACGACTTCTGTCTGGTCAAAACTCTAAAATTCACGTATGAAACCAGTGCCTTCTTCAAAAAAATTGTTTTTCTCTGCAAAAAGAAGCTGAGAACTTGTTTACTGATTTTTATTTATTAAAAGCTTTGTATGACTTATGCTAATGACGAAAATAAGTATTTGAACAACCTGGGATTTTGCAAGTTTTCCCACTTAGAAATCATGGAGGGGTCTGAAATGTTCATCTTAGTTGCATGTCCACTGTGAGAGACATAATCTAACAATTTTTTAAAAATCCGGAAATCACAATGTACAATTTTTTAAATAATTTATTTGTGTGTTACTGCTGCAAATAAGTATTTGAACACCTGCCAATCAGCAACAATTCTGGCCCTCAAAGACCTGTTAGTCCGCCTCTAAAAACTCCACCTCCACTCCACTTATTATTCTAAATTAGAATCACCTGTTTGAGGTCGTTAGCTGCATAAAGACACCTGTCCACCCCACACAATCAATAGGACTCCAACTACTAACATGGCTAAGACCAAAGAGCTGTCCAAAGACACCAGAGACAAAACTGTAGACCTCCATAAGGCTGGAAAGGGCTGCGGGGCATTTGCCAAGCAGCTTGGTGAAAAAAGATCAACTGTTGGAGCAATTAGTAGAAAATGGAAGAAGCTAAACATGACTGTCAATCTCCCTCGGACTGGGGCTCCATGCAAGATCTCCCCTCGTGGCGTATCAATGATCCTAAGAAAGGTGAGGAATCAGCCCAGAACTACACAGGAGGAGCTGGTCAATGACCAGAAGAGAGCTGGCACCACTGTTTCTGTTGGATATTTCTTATCTAGACTGGTCCTATGGTTTTGATCTGTTCAGAGACGGTATTATAATGAAATTATGCCCCAGTTCTGACTGGGTTAAACTGGGCCAGCAACTCTAAAAAAGAGTCTCCCTGGGATTCAGTATCCATCAAGGAATAGTTTAATCTGCTTGCCACATCACCTAGAAAGGCTTTTTGGAGCACCATCTCATATTTCCTAATGTCATAACCACATAAGATCCATTGAGATCACACTTAGTCACGCCCCCTCATACACTGACAGGTTGAGCTCCCCTTCTGCGAAGGAGGAGTCTAGGACCCTATAAATTAGTAATGACACGGGACATCGGAGCTCTTCTTCCGGGTCTGTGAGCGCGTCACAGACGGGAGAGTCCAGCGCTGTAAATTGTAATCTTTTCCTGCGTTTTTTAATATAATTGATAAAACTTAATTGACGTTTCTTTGATTTATTCATTAGTATGAGTTGCCACTTCTGAGGGCGGTTCGAGCCGGGGGAAAAGACGAGGGCTGGAGGTGGTTTCCGGGTCCGTTGGCCCGCAGCCAGCTCCCGTCTTTAACAGTTGGTGCCGGAACCCGGGATTACTGTGGGTGTCGGTAAGACTAATCATGCTAACGGGGCTAACACGACGTCCAAATGTCTGTGGTAAAACTCACCCAAGTGCTTTCAGCTATTAGCTTCTCAATGACGTTGGAAATGACGGCTTGTAACTCGGGTAACGTTGCGTTGGAAAAATATCTCCGACTGGGGACGATGTAGCGAGGCTCAACTAGTCCAAAAATCTTCAGAATCCAACATCCTTACAAACGAAAAAAAAAAACTTCCACACCGCCGACATTTTGAATTTTCCTCCGCTGTGATTAGATCAGGTAGGCGCGCTTGATGTCATCGCGTTGTGCTGCTGCTACAGGCATCCTTGTCTCTGGGTTGTCACACAAAAACAGCGCCTTTTATATCAGTGAGTTATTTTGATGGAATGGCCGATGTTCGATATTTAACTTTTAACCCTTATCTTGGCCGATACCATGCCAATAAAATCGTGCATCCCTAGTAAAACTGGCTGAGTTTGCCAATTGCTTTCTGAGAGTTTCATTAAATTCCATCACTGTTTTATGAAATATTTGGTAATAAAGAACTACAAACACACAGTTGAAAGCAATTATATGATTGTCCGCCTTTAGATGATAAAGCAGTTTAAGAAAATATATTAAAAAAAAAAAAAAGAAAAACTTTCCTTTGTATGACACAAAAGCTGTTATTTTAATGTTATCTGTTTGAGTAAAAGACACATATCTTATGTTCATTCACACATACATCTGACTTATTGCAGCTGCCTAACACACACAAGCCTTTTTCCTTGGCTCAAAGATAAAATGGACCTAATTCTATGGCTGTTTTATGATCAACTGTGGCTTTTTCTTAATTATTTATTCATTAGCTTAGCAAAATATATAACTGGAGTTGAACCAAGACTTCCATTTGTATTTGGAAACAACTTGCAGTCAGAGCTCTTAATTCAAGTAAAACAGGTCACTAATGGCTGCAAAAACAAATGTATTTTTTGTTCTGGGATGACTCATAGGCTCTCTTAATAGACAAAATCAATGCTCTGAAAATGTTCAGGTCCAAGGACAGGACAGAAAATAAGCATAAAGCTGTAAAAAAAAAAAATACCCTGAAAAACCTTTAGAAAATATGAAAAAAAATATTAATCCAGACCACTTTAAAAATCAGGCGCTTTTGACTCATTTGAAGCCAACTAATAGAGAATTTAACAAAGTGTTGCCTTCTTAGATTCAGCAAAATACAACACAATCTGTTTTAGATATCCTTCACAGTACAGGTGGCCAATAGATTAAAACTAGTGTCCCAAAGTGCGGCCCGAGGGCCATTTGCAGCCCTTGGAGTGATTTTGTGTGGCCCACGACTGCAATTAAAGAATGGTATAATTTTGACCCACAGTCTGATGCAGGTTGATGCAGATGTAGACCTTCTTTAGATTTAATGCTGATACTTTTTTTTAATTTTTAGGTTTAACAGAAAACCTATAAAAATAATCTTCTCAAAATGAGCAATATTGAGTACAATACAAATATTTAGCTATAATTAATCCCTTTACAACAAACCTTCACTGCCTTCTACAATAAAAGTATGATTTTGGATATGAATTCATAAAACTTGGCAAATATAACAAGTGCTTTCAAAGGAAATAATTTCAGTTGATTAAATGATCGATGGGTAGAAATTAAGTTTTTAAAAGAATATAAAGTGGTATCATCGACATACAAGTTGATCAACTTTATCAGTGTCTTTTCAAACCTTCCAAGAATCTGTTGGCGACTGTCAGCTGGACGGTTTTTCAGAACGTTGACGACCCTTTTGGGCCGTACATGGTCCAAACGGGTGTTTGAAGCCTCACCCCCTTTTTTAAAGAACAGTTACTCATTTTAGGCTTTTGTCTCTGAAAATAAACAAAAACGAACTTCCCAAGCGCAAGAAAATGAATAAAAGACCCCCGAAAAATCAAATAAATTTAATTAAATTTAAACAAATAAATAAAAATGTATGTTTGAGGCTCCTAATGTTCCAAATCTACAATAATTTAAAATAAACTTAGCCTTTCTCCAAAAGTTGTTGGCCATTGACAGACAAGTTGTTTAGAGTTTAAAAATGAGGGGGGAAATTACGCTTTTTAAACTTTTTTTTTCTTCAAAATTTTCTGGCCCACGAGTCCTTTGATCTAGACCGTTCTGGCCCACCTATGAAAACGGTTGGACACCCCGTGTCAACATGTACTGATAAATCACATCAGTCGCTTTTCAAGGGAAGAGGTGCATTAACAATGTCCAAGTCACATTACCTGATCTCAACCTGATGAGAGTTGGAATACAGAACAATTTTTATCTAAGAAATAGTACAGTAGGAATAAAGATTTGACAAAGTAACATAAAGAAGTAACCCTTTTTTTTCCCCCACTAGTTTTTATCTAAATGGGTCTGCAAAAAATCCTGACCAAGTATTAAAGATTATTTTATTCTTGCTAATTTTTCAATTTCAATCTTATTCCCTGAAAAGATGCTTAAAATGTTAATTTGGTTTGTAACCATTCTCAAATTAAAACTGTTTCTGCACTTGTTCTCAAACTGTTCGTTTGTAACATGTAGCTGAAATACAGCATGTCAGATCTTGGCTGAACAGTGATTTGGTAACTTATTTATTGGATAACTTTAGTGACCATTGTCTTATGTTTTCAGTTTTACAAAGAGAAAACTGTGTTTAAAATAACTGCATTTCATCCAAACTTGTGTGTATTTTATCTAAAATAACCCCACAAGTTTACAGGGAAATTTTGACCTTCAACCATCCATAGCTCCACTTGGCCTCATCCGTCACAGTTTGCCAATAATCGAGAAGCAAATAAAAAAAACATAACATTTTGACATGTACTATTAATAGAAAGAGTCTTTGTGCCAGATTTAATAAATTCACTGTGCTCTTCATATTGAGCAACAGCTGTGCACCAATGCTCAGGTTTGTACTTGTCCATCTGTACATCATTAATGCTGCGTCTCTTGAACGTCTCAGTGGAATTTCAACAAATTTAGCCCGTTTAATTACTTAGACATGGTGAAAAGATTTTTGTGGTCAGAGGTAAGGTTTAATGTAAGTTTGTGACATGCAGCAGCACCACTGTCACACAAATTAGAAGCAATGTGATCATTAATGTGATGTAATGTATATAATTGCACCACCTTCCTGATCATAACAAGATGTTTGAATAACCGAATTGAATCTATTTTTTAAGCGGTTGTTATGTTTATTTGCTTGTTTTATGCTGAGGCTTCAGGTGGAAATGAATAACAAGGGAATGAAAACATACATTAAAGGCTTGATAAAATTAAAAAAGAACAGAATAGAATTAGTGACAGTTCAGCTTACTGATGATGCACTTATGATAAATATGCAGTTTATATTGCAGCCCTATAGAATAAATGAAGCATTTCTTGTAAAAAAGAAAATAGATCTTGGTATGTACATGTAACATTCATGATGCATTTCCATTACGTTTATTATACATATTGAGCTGAAGGATGGGAACATTGCTATTTGTTATGTCATAAGCATGGTGTTTTCTGCTATCATAATGTAACCGTGTTTGGTTTGACATTTTGTTCTTGCGTTGCTGCAGCGTACTTGTGGTGTTAGCCATCATCCTCTTGTCACAATTCTTCTGTGAGCCTGTCAATGGCCAAATTGCAATCTGTCAGTTTTTGTCCACGGCCTCATTCATCTTCCGGGTCTTTTATTCTAATTTTGTATTTTTTTTTTAGTCTTCTTTGTTGCTCTACTGCAGCGTACCTCAAGCTAGCAAATTGTCTTCGGTTCGCCTAATATTTAAGCAAAGTCTAAACAATTACTTTCACCTCTGTTTTCCCCCAGTCCATATTTGTGGAATGAAAGAGAGGTAGAAAATGTTGGTCTCTTTTGCGTCTTTTGACTGAGCATAGCATGCAACTACTACAGTAATCTAGCTGTGTAGATGTTGTTGGTTCTCATACTGCCACATATTCTCCAACTTTGCTATATGTATGCAGCTATAACCACGTGGTAATAGAAAAAATGTATACTGTACATATGCTAAGAACACAAAGGAAACCTGAATGTTGTCACCATACTGGTGATTGTGGCACCAGATGCTGCTGCAGAAATTAATATCTACTTGACAATTCAATGATTAACAGTGATTTCATCAGCTAAGAGAAACCTCACTGCTAGCAGTGTCATGCTGCTAACTGGACCATGTTGCTAAGATAACCTCACTGTCATCAGGACCACTCTGCCAATAGGACCATGCTGCTGTAGATTTAGTTCTTCTTCACTTTTGACATATTGTTTCTGTATTTTTGTTGCATGCTGAATAAATCTGAGTTTATGTTAGTTTAGTTTATGTTAGTGCTCGCATTAAGCGTGTAAATTATAGCCGAACAGAACCTATAAGAATCGTGCTGCTGCTGTTCGGTGTATTGTTTTACACTATTAGTGTTTAGCGTATATCTTAGAGCTTTTAGTGTACCGTTGGGCGTTCATTTCACGTAAATCTTAGTTTATACCTTAGGTCCCTATTTACTGTTTCTTTTTACACTTTATATTTTTGCTCTTGTTGGATGCAACTGGGACCCTGTGTACACAATTTCGCTCCACCTCATGTACCACATGTGGTGTGAATGACGATACAGAACCTTGAATCATTGAATCCTTTATAGGCTACTTTTAAATAGTTATTATTATTAGATTCAATTCTGGTCAGATATTAATCACACTTAGGTACATATGATAAAATCTACTTGTAAAAGAAGACATGTTTTCCCTTTTCTTTTCTGTTAACATTCATACCACACACAGCTTTCTGAAATTTTTACACTTTTATTTACATTATATTATATTACAGACATGTTTTTATTATTTTTCACATTTTTTACATATTCAGCCCTTTCTCTGGGCTGTTCAATCAAAACGCCAAGTGCAGACGTTTGACTGTTTTTGCAATGGCCGCCATTGCAGCAGTGAATCACAAGGTCACCTGCCCAGTGCACCCACTACTGTTTTATTTAACTCTCTGGATTGCAGTCACAAGTGAATGCCCTGGTGTTCTCAGCAAAACACAAGTTAGGACCAATCCACTGCAGTGGCCATCTTTTATTTATTAGTGTCGTATAAAACTTGGTTCATCTGATGAGTCAGGGGGCTTTGGTGACAGTAAAAATATGGCAAAACATTTGGCATGATTGGGAATAGCTCAGATATGATGGATATCTTCCGCATGCAAGTCACTGAGCATGAACTAAAAAGGCAGCAAAAGACAAACTTGTTTAGTCAGCTCGTATTAGAGTTCATATGCTTGACTCTGTAATCCTTAATGTTCACAGCTGACCGCATTTAAATGATTCTAAACCGCATCACCGCACGTCCATGTCATTTTAGTAAATGGGGGATTTACAGTAAACGGTTGCTGTAATTCCCCTCTATTTTCTTTGTCTCTTAAGCTCAGTCCCTGTGTGGCGTGTGGAGTCGGAATGATTCCTCCTGATAGAAAGTAGTAGAAGGATTAGCAGAATCTCAGCACACATTAAATCAACGTCTACTTGATCTGCTTTCACTGTGTCGCTCATATTTCATCTCTGTCTGCCAGGTGCTCTCTGTGCGGTTACGTGTGCAGTCATCCCCCGTCGCTGAAGTCTCACATGTGGAAGCACGCCGGAGACCAGAACTACAACTACGAGCAAGTTAACAAAGCCATTAATGAGGCAATCTCTCAAAGCAGCCGGTGAGAACATGAACTCAGACACGGTGGTGTCAGTATTTAAGTTGTTGAAAGACTTTTATGTCTCTGTTTGCAAATATCTGCAGAACATCCTCTGGTGGTGCAGGTGTTGGATAATTTTTAATATAATTAAACCTGCATCATGCAGTTTTTGAACATAAACAAGACAACTGCTTTGTTCAAATAGTGATTCTGAGCAAAATATTGTTTTTTATTTACACTATTTATAAGGTGAAAAAGCCAATATTACCACTCCTGTGCACTGTTTTTTATCCTTTATCTAAGAAGGGTGTTGCAGGATCCAATACCACTAAACAAATATTTAATGATGGGATATTCCTTTAACATTTTAAAGCATTTTTAGATTGCTGTTTTTTGACATGTCCAAAAGTTTACCTTTAAAGTAAATTTTGTCAGCTCTACAGATCATAAAAAGGTTTTCAGTAAACACATGCTTCTTTGACTCAAGCACCTGCTGGATGATGTGACCTGCTTCAGTCTGATTACGTTGTTGCTTAAAGAACAGACCACATTTTATGAGGAATCGATACAGAAACCCTAGGCAAGCAAACAGGTTCACTAACTTTCATTTGGAACTATAGTAGTCCCTTGATTATCGCGGGGGTTACGTTCCAGACCCCCCCCCCTCCACCCACCCTCAATAATTGAAAAACAGCAAAGTAGAAAAGCTATATTTATTTTAGTATATGTATAAGGCTTTATAAACCCTTTTCACACTCTTGCAATGTTCTAATCTCTTAATCCTACGTCATTTTAACATCATATGTCATTTTAACATTGTATGTCATTTTAACATCATACATATATGTACTGTACTGTAGCTACTGCAAAATTTTATGAGTACTCACCAGCCTTGGTCCAGTTCTGATTGGCTCTGCAGCCGTTGAGCACTAGATGCTTTTGGAGAGAGCCGGACCTTCAGAGAGCCAGTACAAGACCACACGTTGATCCAGATAGAGTCCAAATAATTCAGAGGAATCCAGATGAAAAAGTCCAGTTTAGCTCCTGAGAAGACACCAGACCTCCAAGCAGCGCCGGTCCTGTGCGAGAGGCTTCCTGGGCCATCAAACTGCACACAGACTGACCGAAGAGACTGGAAGTAGTTCTGGTCCAGTTCTGACTGGCTCTCTGCATCCACTGAGCACTGAAGTCACTATGAATAAAGACCGAACTTTTTAGTCAGGTTCAGATAGGATCAAAACTTTCCCTCCCTTTTCGTCAGAAAGCAGTGGCAGGAAGCACGGTTGGCTTCTGGGTAGTGTAGTTCTTTTTGGACTGGTGATGCAGTGTAGGCTTATTGAAAGAAAACTACAACGCAGCACCTATCCAAAGTATTTCTGTTTTCGTTAACTTTTTATCTGTACCGTCCCAATCATGTGAGTAATATTAAAGTTGACAATTGAAAAACCGCAAAAGAGTGAGTCCATGAAAGTCCAACTGCGAAGTAACGAGGGACTACTGTACATTCAGTGTAAGAGGTCTCTAAATTTGAGCTGTACAATCCAGTCATTGAATTTTTCATTTTTGTAACGTCATGTCTCTGTTCTGTGTTCCCTTCAGAACTTTTCAGAAGTTGTCATCAGTGCTGGAGTCAGTGGCAGAGAGTTCAGTTGTGGTCCCGTGTTCAAACGACAAAGTGAAAGTCCCAGTGGAACCTGTTTCAATGCTCAGACCAGCAACACAAGCTAGTGTATCTTTCGACAGCGCAGTAGGCCTCCACATACCTCCCACAGACTCATCACAGTGGCCCAGTGAAACCCATAACCCCCCGGAGAAGGACCCCTCACAGCCGCTGTCCCATAACCAGCTGTACACAGGCCAGTTTCCAGTCCCAGGTCCCAGCATGGAGTATTGTGTCCTCATGTTTTGCTGCTGTATCTGTGGCTTTGAGTCTACCAGTAAAGAGCGGTTGATGGAGCACATGAAGGAGCACGAGGGAGACATCATCAGCATCATCCTCAACAAGGAGCAGCAGCAACCAGAAACCCACCAGAGCCTCCAGACAGCAGAGTGAGACATGATCCTTCCTCCCTACCACAATCACACACTTCCTGCGCTTTCACATTGCACCTGATGAATGCTGTCCATTACGTATCTTTACCTCAGAGGAGTTTTGTAGGCGTGACCATTTCATTTCACTTTTACGTTGTCATAGTACCAGTTCTCAGATGGCATGAGGCCGAAATAGCTGCTGCAACATGGACACCTTGAGCAGGTTTCATAAAAGTATTAAATAATTTTCTAGCTGAAAGGAATGTTTGAGCGTAACCAACGTAATCTTTTAATATTTGTGTCAAATCATTTCATTTTATGAAGCTTTGACCCAAGTTAGAACATTGGGAAGCTCATGCCACACAAACCATCACTATCCCTCCAAAAAAAAAAAAATTTTTTTTTTTTTTTTAAAACATCTTGATTATAAGGCAGCTCTTTCTCTGGTACTGAAATATTTTTATGTATTTATTCCCATACCGCTGAGGTTCTCATCTATTAAAAAAGATAATTGTGCAACTTTTCCGGAGCTGGAAGGCACGCGTCCCTGCTTCAACATCAGCTTCTATTTATCATTTGTTTATCAGTTGTTATTTTCTAGTTTCCTAGATTAAAGGGGTATTTATAGTTTTCTATTGACCTTATAGGAATAGCTTGTTCACAAGTTTTTATAGAAAGTAACTTCTTTAGAAGAGAAATGAGTAGTTTGTGAAGGAGAGGACGTTGACCCCAGCAAAGGAGAAATGGCCTTCAATGATTGTAATAGTTCAGTGATGGAGGTGTTTCTTTAAACGCCTGTTGACAAAAGGAGTAACAAAAAGGGAAGATAGCTCTTCTCGAGTTATTTTAATCTAATGGTGCCAAGGCATTTGAAAGTAGGGGCATGTTTTATGGAAAGAAACACTATAATCAGTCATGATTGTGGTGCTACCTTCATTTTTTTTAAGGCGAAGGTTGGCCACATTTTTTATATTCTGTGTTTATGTTGTATATAGGTGTTTTTTTTTATTTTTATTAACTTTTTCATGTTCCTTGCTGAACATGTCTCAAATAAAAGGACATGGATGTGAAAATAATCTTTTCTTTGACATGTCATTTAGTGGAAACTCAAATCTCAGCTCAGTGACAACAAACAGAAAAACAAAGATTGTTTAGCAGCAAATAGTGACATTTTAAATCATAATACTGCAACTGATGCTGATGGTTTGGTGAGAAAAAGCTGAAAGTTTTTTTTGTCACATACTTGCACTTGGTGCCCAACCAGCTAGTAGGAACCAGTGTTTTTAGTAAGATTTATTATACTTTCCATAAAAAGCTAAATTACATACGTAACTACTTTTTTCCGTTTTGTACTTGCTCAACCCTCGATTCACAGCTGATAAAAACTTCTTTTTTTTTACAGCTTTCATGTTTGCCATTTTTACCAAACTTATCATATTAAGACTGACCCATTAGCTGAATGAGGAGGGGGTGAGTCAACTTGTTTGATCATGAAGTGCTACAACTAAGCTATGCCTTAAGTTAAAAGTTGAAAATGGTCCTAAGACATAAAGAGGAAGGTTAGGGTTCGAGTCTGTCCAGTGTGTCAGAAAGCACACGACCCGTTTACCTTAATCCTCAGGCAGTAACAAAAAAAATCCATTAGTTTATTGCCTTGTGTGATTTGTATTATAAATACAGTTTTTCACCAAAAAAACAGTAAAATTATTATCTCATACTGCACTATAGGATGTGTGAATCGTCTTGAGTACCAAACCAAACATCGTTTTCCTATGAACAACCCAAAGTGGAGGTTAAATAACCGCAGCAATCTTACTTTACAGATGGTGACGTCTAAAATATTGCAACACACTTTAAATGTATTTCCATTTGTGCTTAACAATTCTCACTCTATAGTTATTTGAAATCCCTTTGCCTGGCTGTTTGCATTAGTCAGATATGTAAGAAGACTTGAGACCCCCTCATAAAAAAATGTATATTGAAAGCGATGGGATTTACTTCTAAATCTTGTACCTTCACTGCAGGCATGAGTAAATCACTGCACTCTTTAGCTACACATTACAATAATGATTTAACTTTAGATCTACTTAGCTGAGCCTGAGCTGACCACACACACACACACACACACACACACACACACTCTTGACTCATCTTTCTCATGATCAGGTGCTGGTAGACAAAGTTTGGTAAAGTCTCCATGTGCAGAGAATCCAAGGCATTCAGTTGAATTTTCTGAAGAACTTGGTGCCAGGGCAGCACGGTGGCTCAGTGGGTAGAGCTGTTGCCTCTCAGCAAGAAAGTCACTGGTTCAAATCCTGGCCCGGGACCTTTCTTGGTGGAGTTTGCATGTTCTTTCCATGCATGCGTGGGTTTCCTCCCACAGACCAAAACATGCATGTTAGACTGATTGTTAACTCTAAATTGTCTCTAGGTGTGAGTGAGAGTGAATGGTTGTTTGTCTCTATGTGTCCCTGTGATGGACTAGAGACCTGTCCATGATGCCTCTCGCACAGGACATGGGCACAAGCGGCCCCCACAGCCCAACCAAAGCGGGTAAAAGATAATAGATGCATGGAACTTGGTGCCAAATTGTACAAATGTTTCTCATTAAAAAGAAAAACATTTTAATGCATCACACCCTCATCTTTCCTTCAATATATTGTATATGTTTGTGTGTAGTTCTCAAGTATCTGGTCCTTGCAGCAATATATTTAACCTCCACTCTGGATTATTTTTAGGAAAAAAATAAAAAGGTGGGTTTGATTTGTCTTCACAGTTTTTAAACAGGAATTGTACAAGGTGATGAATTACTACCATTTTTGCTATCTGACGATGCAGAATCAGAGCTTGTGATTCTCTGACGCATGCTGGATGGACTCCACACACTAGAGCAAGTCAATAACCAGTAGCAATAAAAGACACGGTCCCACCCCCCACGTTGCATTTTTATTTTCACATGGCCAAGACACTTAGGGGGACACTCAAGCAGATTGCAGATATGGTCTTAAATGTTTGATGACTTTGTAGAGCAGTGTAGTCATTAAGATTTTCCATCAGCATCGTAATGAAACTATTTTTTGTGTACTGACACACAACTTTAAGTTAAATTACCATTTACTTTTCTATTTACAAGTCATGTATTTTCATTTTAATATCATATAGAGCTCAGTGCTAAACAGCCAATCATAATGAGGTCTCTCTTTTTATAAAGCACACAACATTTCATATAGGACTGACTGAAAAGAATATGTTGCGTTGCATTAACGGCCATTAATTTTTCAATAATCTTGAAACAAAACTAAATCTCTTATAGGATAAATCAGTTAAATAGGATGTACTTTTAGCACATGCCGAATTCAAGATGAGGTAATATTGTGTAATATACCTATATAATATTATGGGTAATATTCATACAAATTGCACTTATTGTTAATGTAGGACATTTGGAGCCCGTCTTTAAGATCATTCTTGTTTTTGCAACGTGGCATCAGATTATTTTAAGATGAGGATTTTATTTTTAAACCAAGTGTTCAGTGGCATTCTCACTCCATTTCAAGTATCACGTGGTCTAGTCGTGTGCATTTACTGTATATTTTTGCCCGGAGAATACAGAGGAGGAAATGAAAAGAAAATTGAAAGTTGAAGCTGCATCTGCATGAGAGTGCTGTACAACGCATCAAACCAAATTACGGTAGAAGTTTGAACAATTCTTGTATTTAAAACTACAGTAGTCCCTCGTGTATCGCGCGGGGTTGAGACCATGCCCCTCCACGAGAAGTGAAAAACCGCAAAGTATGGATAAAGTCCAAGTTCAAGTAAACTTTATTGTCATTACCATAAATTATGTCTAGTTGTAGTAGTAGTAAGTAGTAGTTTAAGTATTTACTATAGTAGTAAGTAGTAGTTTATTTTAGTGTTTAAATACAGGTATATATATTAATGCATTTTAAACCCTTCCAACACTCTTGCAATGGCTCTAACAATGTTTCTAAACTAAACGCTCTAAAAGAGCACAGAATGTCATGATCTCAGCTCTCTGCCTCCAGTTGCTCTCGGCCAGCGCTCTCGGCCACGCTCACTTCTCTGCAGAGCGGAGATCTGACACGCTGCAGGAGGAAGCTTCTCCTGCAGCTGTGGGCTGCACACAGGTGCAGCAGGTGCTAAATAAGTTTAAATAATTTATTTTAAATTAAAATTCCATGCCGATCGTGCGGCTCATCAGCCAATTGTGTGGCATATCCGATCTTTCTTTGAAAAACTGCGATGGAGCGAGTTCACGAAAAACAAACTGCAAAGTAGCGAGGGACTACTGTAATTTAGATTATTTTGAATGCATTAGTTTTGCCTTTGCTAAATCATTTAGGTACCATATTACCAGGACTTTAGTAAAAAAACACATGATTTCCCTTTTCCTAAAGTTTTGCTAAAGTTTTAAACTTACTGTGCATAAAAATAAACTAAATGTTCTTGCTGCTGCAGTCAGATCCCACCCTCCACCCACCAACTGCACCACCTCACAGTTGGGTACGATTTTTATTTGGCGGAGAAAGACGTTTTGAGAAGTAGTCTTCTGTCACAGTTTACAGCCCCAGTCCGTTCACCTGACCTGCTGTACGGCTTTTACATCAAATGTTTAATATTTTTAAGTTTTTATAAAAAATTACAACAAGAGTTGCACTCAAATCTCTTACATTTACAAACATAATGAAATATTTTTAATCATTTCCCAAGCTAAAACCAACTAAAATATCTGTATGTTTGACCCGTCACAGCCAGCAGCTTGTCTTTCTGTTCCTACTTTGTCTTTTTCTGGTTGAAACTGAAACTAGTGGCCAACTGCAAAAATGTTTGAACTAAAGTGAATGTGTTTTTGGTATGAAAATTTCACCCAAGATACTACTCAAGTTACTCTTACCAATTCTTATAATCTTACCAACATTACTCAACTTTGTCTTTGAACACTGACTGATTGCTGTCTGCACTGAGAACTGTCGAGGCTCAGCACTGAATGCGTTTTCAGAGGATTTCACAATAAACTAAGCACTTTAGTGTAAACCAGAGCTAAAGAATACAGGTAGTATCTCCTCTAGCCACACTTGCATTTCTTCCAGTAAGTTTTTAACCAATACCACAACCATAGAGCCTTTCATGTGTGCCATAATAATAATTTTAAAACAGCTGTTCTCTTTTCTCTGACAGTTTGCATTTTTCTTTTTAGTTTAGTGTGCCTTTTTGTTCATTTTTGTTGGAAACAGTTTTCTTATTACTGTAAAACCTTTAGTCCAACTTTATTGTTCTTAAATTTGATCTGTATTTTTTTTTTCTGAAGCACAAAGTACCTGTTGGCCAGTGGTGGGCACGATTCTGCTAACCCGCTAATGGCGGAGCTAACTTTCCATGAAGCAGACGAGCGTTTTTGCTCATTTTGAACACCTTTACCAGAATTAGCTCTGGCTAAATTAAAATCTGGTAAACTTAAGTACGTCATTTTTTTATTTAAAGACAGTTCTCCACACCAAAATCCAACAGTACAATGGTGATGTTCACAGCTATGACATGCTAGACGGAGAAAAGCAAAGCTAATCACCACCTGCTGATGTCACTAACCTCGTAGTGTTTTTTCCTCCTCTTATCTACCACAAACAATCTTACTTATGGTGTCAGTTTACAGCCAATAAGAGACTGTAACATAAATACCAAACTAAACCAGAACAGCAAAATAACATGAAAACCCCATTTCACGCTCAGAAACATTGTAACCAGTCTGAAACCTTGCACATATTATTCCTACCAAGCGTGCTTTGCAACGCTCACATCATCTCTGGGACGTGACTCTCTCACACATTTCACACATCTTTACAAACAGATTTATTACCGATAGAAAATTGATACTGACGCACAGCAACTTTGTAGTTAAGTTTATAAAAGTAGTTAACCACAAAGAGGATTGCCGAAGTGAGTTAACTGATTATAGTAAAAGCCACATGGGCGTTGTCCGACACACATTGAATGCATCACTCTTCAGCACAGCAGAGTTCTGCTCCGCTCTGTTTTGAGTTGTGTTCACTTACAATGTCACATTACAGTCTTACAGTGTCAGTGACAGCAGTGTATGATAAAAGTTAGCGTGTTAGCGTTAGCTTCTGATTTTTTCAAATCTTTTAATTGGTTTAGCGTTAGCAAAGCTAATGTTTTGGTTAGTGAATTAGTGGTTAGCGACGTTAGTGGTTAACTTTTTGATTAGCTGTGCCCACCACTGTTGTTGGCAGTATTAAAGTAAAAGCAAAAATCATTTTAAGGTGCTTGATATAATCAGGCTACAACCTCAGTACATTTTTCATTCAGGCATTTTGAGGAGCAACAGATAAAGCTCACCAGATATAGGAAGCAGCCTGTTTGTGTGTAATTTTCTAGAGCTCAAGTGAGTACGTACATGCTACAGAACCTTTAAACTGACATTTTTTTATACATTTTAACAATTGAACTTTTTAAAATAGAATCTTTGCTCTTTTCTAGGGAAAGGGAAACAAAATGAGCCGTTTGCATTGAAACCAAAGGCAAGTAGAGGAGATGAACTCTGACTAAAGTATTTTTTATGCTCCTATCAATTTTTGTAACGGAGATTTAACATGGAACTGTCTGAGATTGCAATGTGACACTTTCATTGTGTGTATTTATTTTTGGAACATCATAGGAAGAATTACATCACTTTGCCATTTTATCTTTTGCTAATAAAATAAATGTAAAATAATTCACCTTGGCTCCTGTGACTACATTTCAGCTCAGCTACTGTTTGCTTCCTACCATCTCGAACCAGTCTGTCCGTTCTCCTCTGACCTCTGAGACCCACACATGTGCTACAGCTAGCTGCTGCTTTTTGGGCTTGTAAATAACTTTGAAAAATCCCTGTAAATAACCATGTAATTCGAAACTGACATCAATGTAAAAGTTTATAAAATACCATTTAAGTGATTTTTTTTTTTTGGAGATGTTTAAAGGTAGGAGCAATGTACTTTGGTCTTGGCAGTGTTCAAAGTACCTGTTAGCTTCTTAATCCTAAAACCTAAACTTTCTCCTTACCAAAGCAGCCATATTCACCTGGTAAGATATGAGTATATGTGTAGATGAACAGATGCTCAGATATATTCATCAATTAACACGGATTCCTCATTTTTCTGAACTGAATAAAACGTGCATTGAATTTAATGAAATGCAAACGTGAGACGTCATTTATATTTGACCCATCAAAATGAATGCGGTCATTTATTTACAGAATCAAAGTTTAACATCAAACATTTACATTAATTTGGCAAATTATGAAAATAACAACATAAGCAATCAATCAGGAAAAATCATACGGCCATGATTTTTCCGTTGCTTCACCACAGACATTTATGACAACTGTACAACTATGATCTTTTACCCACACGGATGTGGATGAGCACTTTACACAGACATTTCTAAATATCTGGAAGAATTTCTACTTGAGAGAGGAGTTTAAAGATGGGAAAGAAGTTTAAAGAAGAGTAAAAGATGGGGTTTGAGGGAGTGTGAACAGAACGGCACTCTCCGGGCTTTCTTCAGCTTCTCCTTACAGTACACTTAGGTGGTGAAATCGACTCTTTTACCTGGAGATGTCTCAGGCGAGATTCCGTTTAACGCACCCTTCAGCGTCTCCGTAGGATGCTGTTACTCGTCCGGAGTAATGGCGAGATTCTGTTTTCCCACAGCTCACCTCAGTGGAAAATGTTATAATCCCATGAAACTCGGAAGAGCTCTGTTGTCATGTCAGGATCTTCCCGGCTCCCAGAACTGGGCTTCTCCGCACAGAACTGAACAGAACTGATCTCAACCGAACCGAGTAGAACCCTCACAGAACTCTCACAGAACTGGTTAGACCAGGAAGTACCGACATTTTAAAGAGCTCTTTTTCCCGGTTCATCTGGGAGTATTCCCATTGGCCAGAACCGACCAGACGGGGTGTGTTTTGTGATGTAAAAGGTTAGAATGCAGCAAGAATTGTTATGGAACAGATCAGAAATTTTCTCACAGACAGAGAGAGTTTTGTTTTGGCGAGTTTAAGAAACAGGTGCCAAAACCCCCTGTTGACATCTGAGAGGATATAAACAGGACAGTTGTTCCAACGCATGTCTGCTTCGACTCCTGACCCTGGAACGCACACTTGCATGAGAATTAAAAATCATTACACAGTTAATAAAATTGATTAGTTCACTGCAACATCTAAAATGGTTTGAACTAAGACACTTTGATTATCAACATCTGTAAAATAGTAATGATAATAAAAAAGAGTGTTCTTTCACTTGATTATCAAGAAAGAGAGTCTCAGGATGGGTGAACCTGTATCTCTGGATTCAAATCAATGAAATGACAGTTTCTGTCCCACAAGGTTCTTAAGGTCAAGGGTTTTGACCTTAGGCTTAGTCGTGACACCAGATTAAGTTCACTACATATGTATTCCCATTCATCAAGAGACGAAAGAAAATGTTGAGTCAAAGCAACTTGACATTTTCTGCTATTGTGGAATCTACAATGGTCAAGACCTATCAAAGCACCCAAAGAAGGTAAAATAAAAACAGGGTGGCCGTGACCAGGGATTAACGAGTGAAAACAGGACTGTATTACCCCCTTTTTTAAAAACAAAAGCGCCTCTGCAGCTCAAATAGTTGAGAATTGATTACAGTTTCACTGACCATGCATGTATCTCAACTGGACCACAGAGAAATTACAGGTGATTCCTTATGATTACCGGTAAGTACACTTTCATTAGTCATGTTAATTGAGACGTGCGCCTCACACCAAAAACCCATTTAAAATAGGAAATTATGTTTCTTTAGGAACACCACTGAATTATCTGTCATCTCTTTTAAGTTTCTGTCTGCGCACAAGTCATTTTTTTCTTTAAGATAAAATGAGATACAAAGATGATTCATTTGCAAAAACAGTTCTTCCAAGAAAAAGCTACTGTTTATATATGAGACAGATTTGTCTACTAAAGTCTAAGCCTTTCTTTGCACGGCAAGGACTCACAGATGAGTGAACGACCGTAAGTGCTTCAGATATGAAGGTTCTGCTTTAGCTGCTATCCTACACTGCCTGGTCAAAAAAAGTCACCACCCAAAAAAGGGTCACACTAATATTTTGTTGGACCGCCTTTATCTTTGATTACAGCCTGCATTCACTGTGGCATTGTTTCAATAAGCTTCTACAATGTCACAAGATCTGTTTCCATCCGGTGTTGCATTAATTTTTCACCAAGATCTTGCATTGATGACTAGACACTAGGCATGATGGTTGCATCACTTCACCTGCCTCTCTTCTTACCCTGATGCGCCCATCACTCTGGAACAAGGTACATCTGGACTCATTAGACCACATGACCTTCTTCCGTTGCGCCAAAGTCCAATCTATATCCTCCCTAGCAAATTGAAGCCTTTTTTCCCAGTTAGCCTCACTGGTTAGTGGTTTGCTTAAGGCTGCACAGCTGTTCAGTCCCAATTCCTTGAGTTCCCTTCACATTGTGTGTGTGGAAATGCTCTTACTTTCACTATTAAACATAGCCCTGAGAGCTACTGTTGTTTTTCTTTGATTTGTTTTCACCAAACATTAAGTGATCGCTGATCACGATCATTCAGGATTTTTTTCCGGTCACATTTCTTCTTCGAAGACAATGGGTCCCCACTATCCTTCCAGTTTTTAATAATGCGTTGGACAGTTCTTAACCTAATTTTAGTAGTTTCTGCAATCTCCTTAGATGTTTTCTTTGCTTGATGCCAATGATTTAACCCTTCTCAAACAGACTGACATCTTTTCCACGACCATGCAACATTTCTTACTTTCAACATGGTTGTTAAAGAACTGAGAAGCAACTCATAGCACCAGTTGGAGTTAAATAACTTGTTACCAGCTGAAAGGTAATCACCCATGCAGTAATTGGCCAAAAGGAGGCTCGTACCTATTTTAGTTAAATCCAGGTGACTTTTTTTCTTTGGCCAGTCAGTGTACTTTACACAGGCATGCACACAGCCACAGAGACACCTGAAGCATTTTTTATTTACACTTTCAAGCTGTGAAAGGCTTTGTTTTAGATAAATGTAGAATTTGGTAAGTCACATCATACAATAAATAAAAAAAAATAAAAAAAAACGAAATAGGACCTGTGCAGCTTAAATTCTGAGCTTGTACAACAGTTTGTGAATGAAAAGCCTGCTTTTTTTCATCATTTTATCTTTTCTAGGAATGAAGGTAGGTTTGGTCTTCTGCCGAATCCTGGACTTGATTAAATGTCCAGTCTTTTACTGGGCTGTTTTCAAAATAATCATTGAATTTAATCTTGTCAAAAGATGGAAAACAGTCAAATACAGTGAAAGCTTTATAAGCTCTATTGAAAATAAGTCAAATTAAGCTTTACATTTTCATTCAAACCTTTATTTATACAGATAACATTGAGCCTCAAAGACTCTTACAAGGTGCTCACTCTCGCACACACACATCATCTTTTGAAATAAAACATGACGGTCTGTAATCCCTCTTATTTTTGCACAAAACTATTGAACACTTTGGTAAAGGGGAAATAAAACTGAGTTATTTCTTCACAAAATCAGGTTTTCTCCCTAAACCTTTTAATGGCATCACCATGAAAATAAAAGCAAAGCACAAAATGAGGCGATAAATAAGAAATAAGTGTGAAAATACGGTAAGCAGCAGGTGAGACTCCGTTTAAGGGCGTCAACACTCGTCTGCTCTCCCACTAAATGGATAATTTTTAGATTTCCTTGCGCTAGGAATTTTTTTTTAATTTTTTTTTTTTTTATCCATCTCTCTGCAGCCTTTCCCCCGGGCTACAAATAAAAAGGTGCAGGAAAGAAAGGGCAAATTTGGATTAGCTTTTTTTTAAATGTATTCACTGAGAAATGGTCCAAGAGCTAAAAGAGAAGCTTGACAAAGAGGAGCTGTTTTTGTTTCAGCAAACATTTTTTTTTTTTAAGTCCACTCAGTTTTATACATTTCTTTACTGTCTTAAAAGTTTACTATTTGAACTTGATAATTTTATCTGCATACTTTACTCAACACGTCTGAGCAGAAATACACTCCAGTGCATCACTATACATGTAAGTGTTGCTGTTGTTGGCCCGTTTTTACTCACTTTGGCTGTTTTTGTGGAGCAAACATGTAGTAGTTGGCAGTGGGTTGTACTTTATTACACATTTTAATGTTAGGGGCACATTAGCAGTAGAAGTTAATTATTTGGCTCAAGGGTGCTCAAAAATGTTGGCCAATTAAGATAAATTACTAAATTACGTATAGCACATAACGGTTCCTTAATGTTTAAACTTTGAACAAAAGACAACCCAAGTCAGTTCCTTCATTCAAACACTAACCAAATCATTTCAAATGAGTTCAAACAGAATTTATTTTTATCCTCTGAATCATGAGCAGTGTTCTGGTTTTCCACATTAATAACAGTTCCTCGCTCAGAGCTCCCCTACTCCACTGATATCTGTAGCTGCAGGAGGAAAGTCCAATAACAGTGTGATAATATCCAATATAATAAGTTCGATATCTGTTTTTCCACATCATTTCATCTCCAAGGTGAGCGGGCAGGCCCACAACAGCGGGGCTTTGGAGAGTAATGAAGACCATTTCAAGGAGTTTGATTTAAAGGTTGTTTTAAATTAAAACGCAGGCCTGGAAAAAGTAAAGAGTCAAAAGAAGAAAGCCCATCTGCAGGTAAACACGTTGAACACAAATTCTGGCAGCTACTATCTGACATCAACCGTCAAGAAAAGTTGCAGCGTAGGAACCAAAAGGGAATGCAATATTAATGTTTTTCTTTTGGCTGCCCCCACTCTGCTGATCACAGCAAGTGATCTCACACAAGACATTTGGTAATTGTTTACATCGGATGCCCTTCCTGATGCAACCTGGGCCCAAACCTCCAACCTCAGGATTACAAGACTATGGCACTGACCACTAAACTACTACATCCCCATTAATATGAATTAATGATTGTGTTTTTAAGAACAAATTGTTCTTAAAAAGCACAGAATATGATAGAAAGCGCATTATATGATAGGTCAAATGTGGGCATTTATTTAAGCATATTTTCTTGCAATGTTCATTTTGATACATCCAGACGTGTGTGGAACATGCATGTGCCATTGATACATGAAGTCCCTGGATTTTAGTTCAATTGACAAAAAGAATGTAAAATTTAAAACCTCAAACTTTTTTTTCTTCATTAGTGTTTGCTATCATTTCACTGCCTGTGACTAAGGTCTGCCTTATCACGTTCATAATTCCTTTTATTTATTTTTCAAAAACAAAAAATTAGTTCTTGCCAAACATAATAATTAATAATAATAAAAACATAATAATAATAATTTGACTTCCAAATTTAACTGGAGTAAGAATATCCGTCCATCCATCCATTATCTTTTACCTGCTTCTTCCATTTTTGGGTCACGGGGGTCGCTGGTGCCCATGTCCAGCAATCACTGTGCGAGGGGCAGGGTACACCCTGGACAGGTCGCAAGTCCATCACAGGGACACATAGAGACAAATGAGACAACTCACCATTCACTCTCACTCACATCTAGAGACAATTTAGAGTTACAAATCAGCCTACGATGCATGTTTTTGGTCTGTGGGAGGAAACCGGAGTACCCGAAGAAAACCCATGCATGCACGGAGAGAAAATAAAACTCCACCCAGAAAGGCCTCCGGACCAGGATTTCTTCCGGAAACCTGCTCGCTGAGAGGCAGCAGCTCTATCAGTTGTGCTACCCGGAGTAAGAATAGCTTACGTTATTTTTTTTCTTTAATATTAAAATGAGCTGCTTAAATTGTGCCTAAAATGTTAGATTATGTGGCTATTTTTATTTTCTATTACGTGAACGATCCATCCATTTTCTTCTGCTTATCCGGGTCGGGTCGCGGGGGTAGCAGCCTAAGTAGGGAGACCCAGACTTCCTTCTCCCCAGCCACTTGGTCCAGCTCCTCCGGGGGAATCTCGAGGCGTTCCCAGGCCAGCCGAGAAACATAGTCCCTCCAGCGTGTCCTGGGTCTACCTCTGGGTCTCCTCCCAGTGGGACGTGTCCAGAACACCTCACCAGGGAGGCGTCCAGGAGGCATCCTAAACAGATGTCCGAGCCACCTCAACTGGCTCCTCTCGACGTGGAGAAGTAGCGGCTCTACTCTGAGTCCCTCCCGGATGATCGAACTTCTCACCCTATCTCACAGGAAGACTTGGCAATTGTTTTTACACTGGATGCCCTTCCTGATGCAACCACAGACCACTGAGCTACCACAGCCCTCTGTGTGGAGCAAAGAGCTGCTATCTGGGTACACGGGGTGGCAGAGGGTGGGGTAAATTACTTATTAACCTTTATTTAACCAGGCAAATCCCATTGAGATCGAACAAGGACCTTAGTTAAGGACCTTGCTCAAGTGAGTGCAGGTGTGGGTGCTCCACCTTGTCCACCCACATTTTAATTCCGTGGGTCCAGGGGGTGTCGAACCAGCAACCTTCCAATCACAGGCTGGTCTTAGCCTCTGCGCCATCACTCCCCCAAAGGTAAGTTTCTTTCAGCTGTTCCCTCTTCGGAGGTCACCACACAGCGAGCAAACTTGTATGAAAGATTTGGCAATTTGTTTTACGCCAGATGCCCGTTCTGATGCAACCTGGGCTGCAACCTCAGGACTACAAGACTGTGGCACTGGCCACCAAGGTATTGCAGCCCCATCTGAAAGAAAGGAAAAAAAAATATGGAAATTAAATAATAGTTATCTCAAACTCAAACAAAGTTAAGTGAGGTCTTCTGGATGGATGCAAAAAGTAACCAAATAAATGTTGAAACGTTTCGTCTTTATAAGTCTTTTAGATAGAAGAAGAAACGTTTCAACATTTTATTTTTTATTTTTAACTTGTTGCATCCTAGACTAGGACCTGACTTCTGCCTGAGCATGCATCAGGATGTCATCTCAAACTCTTATTTTGAAGGCCAACCCTGTTCTGTTTGGAAACTTCCGGTCCTCAAACACAGTGCGGCAGCAGCAGACGCTGCTACAGACGCTCAGACTGGTGAAATCTGCAGTGAATTTAGGGAGAACAGAAAAGAGAAACATGAGCAAGAGAGATAAAGGGGGTACATTGATAAAAAGAAAGAGGAGACAGAGGAAAGCTGTCGGACCGTCCTGCCGAGGGCTCCTGTAGTCTTAGAGGAGGAGGGTGAGGCGTTCAAATGCACCGTTTGCCAGATTTTATTTTTTTTGTCTGCGTTGCTGTGAAACGATGAGAATCTGTAGCGGGAGCGCGCCGATGTCTTACACATTCATATACATATAAATGAGATGGTTAGTCGTGTAAAACCTGTTCCAGCACCATTATCTCATGTTATGTTTACATCTGGTTCAAATACGATACATATTTAATTTGGTTTTCCGATAATCTGCTGACTAAAGTGAATTCGGATATTTCACAATCCCAACAGCAACGTGATCAGGAAATCCCGGTTTTTAAAAAATACATTTTTAGCAGGCCTGTCAAAACGCACATCGGCGCGTCACTGTTTGCTTTGTACGGTTAGCACACCCGCTGCGTACCATTCATTAACCACATCTGCTTGGACACCCGCGCATGCGCACACCGCCGCGGTTTTTGAAGGTAGTTTAACAAACGTCATGAGCAGCCTGCGCCAGAGGAAGGGCATGAAGGGGAAGGAGGCTCCTCTGAGTCCTGAGGTTCAGTCCCAGCAGTCCAACTGTTGCACCCTTCATCACCAACGTCCAGAGAAGACCTTGCAGGGTGAGTGAGCTGCCCCTCTGGACTTTTATCTTCAACGTGTCAGACCTGTGGTCCACATGATCTTGACAGTCACTTGGTAGAAAAAAATAAAATAAAACCCCACAATAAAAACATAGGTCTCTGTCACAGTCAAGTCTCATGATGAGATATGAGGCTGAGGCTTACCTTCTTCAAAAATGGCTGTTTCAGGGTTGAAACTGGGGAAATAAACTCTCTGCTCACCTGCAGAGCGGTGACTGAGCTGTGTCCACATTTACATAACTGTAACATACAGACTTGCACCATTGGCAGAAAGAACTTGAAAAATATATATATTTTCTGCAAAGTATAATTTTCCACATTTTACATGGTTGTCTGCAACTAGCACCAAGAGATGTCTGAAAATAAAGTGCTTATAAATGATACAGAGGCATTATTACTTGTATAAACTCTGCCTTTTCATTCATCCATATTATTTTCTGGTATTTTAGGCCCGGTGTAAACCTACACTACTCGTATTTTTGTCAGTTCTTAAAAAAGAAAAAAAACACTGAGGTACCCATCTAGAACACAGGAACGTACACTTTAATGACATTTAAATACATGAATTATTCTCAGCTTGCCTGAAGATTCTTTCAAAGATTTTACAGTTTTCTCTGTATTTAAGTACACGATCAAAGTTAAATGGGAACAAGATTAAGATAAAAGAAAAAATGTAAAGTGGTAAAAATAGTTTCACTGTTTTTGTTTCTGAGACACAAAGTGAAAGTGGGCAAAATAGGCTGCTTCATCATCGTTTCTGTAAAGGTCACTATCTCAAGTTCTCACAGATGCACAAACTCACATTTCAGAAATCTCCACTTTGGAAGGTGTGCCATTAAATCTTCTCACCAAAAACTCTGTGTGCATATGAAAAAAGGTACAAACGTAGCAGAAAATGTCAGCTGCAAAATATCAAGTGCACGGTAAACTGGGCTATGGACAACCAGTGAAACAACCAACAAATGAGCAATTCTTACTATGAGAAAATTTAGTTGTTTCATCTAGTACATATAGAAAAAAAGCAGCTTTCTATAAGAAAAGCTAAACATTTAAACAGGGGGATAATAACTCATTTATCAGTTTTTCACTTCAATATAAAGGACCAAATGAAAATGAATTCAGTAACAAATAATAAAACCTGTTGCTTCTATTTAGTCTACTGGAACCTTGTTTTCCTTTAGACCGTAATGATTATGGTTGCATTTTTATGTGTAATGTTCACTTCCCTCCATGTATATCCTTTAAGACTTATACACACCGTACTGCTAACGGGTTGAATACATATATAACCTACGAGTAACTTATTCATAGCTTGTCCCTAGCTTATGCGTAACCTATACAAGTGTATGGCAGTGATGTTTGACTTGTATAGAGCTTACGATTGTCACTGTAACTTGTGTTGAGTTCACGCACAGCATGTTGGAGCATGTTGCAATGAGAGCAGCTGTCACACAGTAATGTGCATCATCAGTGTATGAAAAAAAAGCCAAACACATTAATGTAAGTCACATAAGTTAGGTAAGTTTAGAATAAGTTACCAGCATGCTGATATACAACAACATAAGTTTGTCTTATGGTGAGGCCAGCCCAAAATTTGGCACACGCTTGACATTTTCAGTGCATGTGGCCGTGTTGCTGGTAAGTTATATATAAGTTGCAGGTATGCAGCAGCTAAGTTATGCATGAGTTCACACATGTAACATGTAAGTTACTCATAAGTTGACATATGTTAGAAACCAGATGTGAGCGTTTGAGTAACTTATTTCTAACTGTGAGCAACATGTAACAGCTCTGTATCTTATGTCTGACATGTCTACAACATATTGCAATATCTGTGCCTTAAAGGGTTCATGTGCAGGGCTCCAAAGAGTGGGGTGGGAGAGACAGAGGAGGAGCGCAGAGATGTGGAGGAGCGTGAGCACCTGGGGTACATAGTTTGGATCCAGCGTGAGTTGCGTTTGTGACAGCAGCTCAAGTTCTCGTTTTATTGATACCCTGTATTGATATAGAGTGAGCAGTCTATTCTGAAACGTGGTTAAACCTTTAAGCTAGCGTACTTGCCATTGTTTTGGGGTTCATATACATGTCTGTATATAAAGTCAAATTGATGTGCAACTCATCACTCAGTTCAATTCAGTTTATTCATATCGCACCAACTCAACAGAAGTCATCTGAGGGCACTGAACAGAAACATCCACATACATTAAAAAAGCCAGTTAGTAAAAGTTATCTATCTTAAGAAGCTATCAGATTGTGTTGAATCTTCACTTCTTCACAGTTTCCCATCTTGATCAAGCACAAAGTCAACAGTGGAAAGGAACAACTCCATTTTAACAGGAAGAAACCTCCATCAGAACCAGGCTCAGGATGAGAGACCATCTGCTTCAACTGGCTGGGGTTTGAGAGGACAGGGAGGAGAACTAGACACAGAATGGCACTCCTGCTCGATCCACAAGGTGCAGAGGTCCACAGTTATCACCACAGAGATGGAAGATGCTGATGCAGCTTCCTTAACTGACTCTATATGTATGTGCATGTTTCTGTGCACTGCCCTGAGATGACTTCTGTTGTGATTTGGTGCTACATAAATACATTTAATTCATTGATCACAGATTTGTTTGATTATTTTCTGAGATGTTGATCAATGCAAAACTGGACTGACTGAGGGTGCAGAGAGCTGTTCTTTTATATCTGTTGTACCGGTACACAAGTTTGGCATAAAACTAACGTTGCATAAAACTCTGCATAATTCAAGGTGCTCATAGGCTAGAAATACGTTTTGTGTACGTTCACAATTGCCAGGTGGTTTCTGACATATGCCAACTTATGAGTAACTTACATGTAACGTGTGTGAACTTATTCATAATTCAAAAAAGTTCAAGACAAAAACAACTGGACTTTTATTTGTAATAAATTTGTTACAAATAAAGTCCAGTTGTTTTTGTCTTGAACTTTTTTGGATTTACCATGTCCTGGATGACTGAGAATCTTAACCAGTGAACTTACCGATATTTATAACTTACCTGTTGCATACCTGTAACGTGTGTCTCAACACACTGATGTTTTTGTGCATGTACCAGTAAATAGTAATTGCCTGGCCATTGTATATGAGCGTGCTGGTAGCTTATCAAAGCTTACACCTAACTTATATAAATTACACCAGTTTTGTTTGTATTTTTTTTCCTACTCTGATGCAATACAGCACTGTGTGACAGGGCCTTTAGAGATCACTCAAACACTGACTTTCTTGTTTGCTTTTTAAGTTTTTGTGATCTTATAAAGGAAGTGACAGGTTTGGCTTCTTCCATTAAGATAAATGATATTCAGGGTGTGCAGGGTGGTAGTAGAATTTGACAGTCAATGTTTCTTGGAGATATAAGTGAAAATGAAATTCTAACTATAGTAAGGAAAAGCAAAACTAAAACATCTGTTGATAGTGATGGAATGGCAGGATGATTATATATATA